CATCCCCTTTTATTGAGAGTACTTAAAAAATAATCATTGCAGTCACACAAGGATCTTTGCTTCAAACTTTATTTCCAGGAACCTCCCTAAATGAGCTGCTCTTAGAAAGCATAATTGTAAAGATGGGATTCTGAGGATGGGCCCTGGATGATAAGAAGTCAAGGAAGACCTATCCCATTACTAGTCCCTGGAAAATCTATTCATTCTTCCCATCTAATGGTGGAAGAACAGAGCCAAATTAAGACGAAAAGGAATCGGAGCAGGAGGAGCCTGTAATCCCAGCACTTGGGAGGCTGAAGCAGGATTGACCAGAGTTCTAGGCCAGCCTGGGCTACATCGTGAGTTCAAGCACAGACTGAATTGCACAGTGAGACTGTATAAAAAAATGAATGAATAAATAAATAAATAGAAGAAAGAAAGAAAAAAGAAAGACCTGTAGGGCATAGTGGCACATGTCTGTAGGTCCAGCACTCATGAGGCTGAGACAGGAGGATTATTGTGAGGTCAAGGCCAGTCTGGGCTACAAAATGAGTTCAAAGCCAGTCTTAACTGCATAGCAAAACTCTGTCTCAAAAAAAAAAAAGATAGTGTAAGGTGAGAATTTTCTCTTTTGCTTTATGCAAATATATAGATTGCAAAAAATGAAATAATGTGGGGCTGAGGGTTTAGCTCAGTGGCATAAGCACCTTCCTTGCAAGCAGGTAGTCATGAGTTCGATTCCTGGTACCGATAAAAAGGAAAAAGACAAAAAAAAATAAATAATGTAATTATATTTGTTGTTGGGTCAGGGAAGCTACAGGTGAAAGGGATTCTAGTCTCTGGGTACTGAGAGGCACAGAAAAATTATTGCCTTTAAGGATTGTGGATACTGATGGCAACATGTGAGAATCTTCAGGGCTTCTTCAGCAGAATTTAAAGAAGTTCTCATTTGCAGGCAGAGCTGAAAACCTTATGCAGAAGAGTGGCAGAACTTTAGAAAAGACAGATTCTCATCCTGAGCAAATCTCTAATGCCAAAATCAGACAGGTAGAAAATAGAACCTTGAGACTCTGGGTTGGGCTATCTCGATAGACTCAAGGACCTTGAACCCTCAGACTGTAAAGGGCCTCTCTGGCATGTGGGGAGGAAGTTCATCCTCACCTGCACATTATGTAGAGGCCTTTTGTGCGTCAAATCTCATCTTGACCTAAATGGAGAAGTTCTAGAACCTTAAAGGGGGAAAAAGATTTTATGGCACAGAGATTGCAGTACTCACTCAGAGTGGAGGATTTATCCCTCGGTGTGGCTCGCAAAGGTGTGGAATTAAAGAAAGGCAGAATATGTATCAATTTTAGCGGTATTTAACCAATCAGCAGCACATTCACAGGGCATCATATTTAATCCCATGACCAGAGCTTTGAGAACCAATTCTAACACATGGCTGGGATGGCTCTTAGAACGTAGGAAAACCTAATGGCCACATTAAAATGCAATGGCGAGTATAAACACCAAAACAACACCCAGCATTTGGAGACAGATTTATTTATGTTAGTAGGTGCTGATCAGGATCATTCCAAGAATATTAGGCCCTGACCTCTGGTGGTCTGGAGCTTATATGAGATAAGCAAGCATGAAGTGCAGAAGCAGAATGGTTTGTCAATTGGGGATTGATTTATACAATGTGCATTGTAGTGAGCAGCTATGCGTCAAAGTGACCAGCCATGTCTAAAAGACCAGAGGCAATTAGAAATGGAACAGGAACCATTACTTGGTACCTGACAAACTGAAGTATACTGGCTGGTGTGTGTGTGGGAGCATTTTTTGTTAGAAAAGCAGGGATGCCAAAACTCTCATGGCAGAATGTAGATGGAGGGATCAAACAAACAAACAAACAAAAAAACACAAAGTAGAGAAGTAAGCATGGGAAACCTTTAACCATGTAAAACTAGAAAACTTGAAATTCACTGTGGTCCTTAGCAAAGCCGGAATGCACTGTTTATCAAGGTGGCAAGGTGGTCTTCCAGGGGCATTAGTATCACAAAGAAGCTCAGAGATAGATATGCTCTGTAGGCCAGTGCTGAAGATAAATGACACAGTCATAATACAGGAACCCTTACTAGCACTGGATCTGATAAGATCCCCTAGTAGCAGAGGCCACTATGTGAAGTAACAGAAACCTAATCACCACAATGGATAGCGAGGTCAAAGTGGCAGCCACAAGGCCTGACCTGACCTTGTAGAGATGGCTGATACAGCACAGTGTTTTTACGTACAAGACACATGATCAGATAGAAAGGCTATGGCTCAGCATATAACCGGAAGAGACACCCGACAAGTTACAAGATCAGAGCCAAGACAACATGCACAATGGAAAATCATAATCTCATGCCCAATTTCAATACCTGAGCCCCTTCTCAGATCAAGAATGCATGGACAAGAGAAAATGGGATTCACGAGGAAGGACCCAGAATGCCACGACAATTATACAGAGATTTCTTCAGTACTTCTCCAAAGAGAGTTATGGTTATTTCTTTGCATAACCACAAACAACCAAAAGAAGAATACTCTAATCTTTGAGGTTGTTGGATATAAGACCTAAGTCAATGGGACAGTCCAGGGTTCCTAATAATGATCCTGTACCCTTCATAGAGTAGAAATATATTGAGTTAGATAATAAATGGAGTCTTCAATCAGCTCTGTCTCAGTGGGGCTACTGGGTCCTGTTGCTGATCTACTTGGTCATTTCTCTGATTCTTGAATGTGTCCTTGCAGTAGACATACTTGACAGTTGATTGAACCCTCACATGGGTCCTTAACCTGTAGAGTAAGAGCTGTTGTAGCAGGAGAGGACAAGTGGAAGTCCCTGGAACTCTCTCCCCCTCCCACCCCTAACCACCAAGACAGTAAACAAAAACTATCACACTGTAGGGGATAACATTTGCACAGGACACACAATATACTACTTTTGTAGTCTTCCTGTAGGGCTATGCTCATTTTCCTGTTTTATGTCATAATATGTCCCAAAGGGACCAGGACCATCTGGCATCACATAGGTCTACTATACTGAAGTATCATGCTAGTCAGATCTGATGAATGAAAAAAAAATATATATATTATTCCAGATGCCCTGATAAGATACAGTTTTTAGAGGGTGGATAAACCTCACTAAAATTCAAGAGTTCTGTACATGGATGAAATTTTAAAAATATAGATTATTATTTTTAAACACTTTGAAACAATTTTAGATTTAGGAGAAATGCAAAAAAGACTATGAAGATATTCTGTATACCTTTTACTTCTACGTTAAAATCTTGTGTAAACATAAAATGTATATCAAAACACAGAAAATAATCTTGGCACAATGCTACCATCTAAAATAATAGACTTTATTTGTTTTGTGAAGTGGTTCAATCGTCTAGGGCAGGTGTGGCAAATCCCAGTGGCTTATTTACATCACTGAAAGCTTTAAAAGGTTTTCATGCCTGGTCTAGAGGATCGTAAGTCATTTTCTCCAAACTAAGAGACAGTTACTGTGTTTTGCCCCTTCTACTACTAAGAACACTGGATATTTCTTCATGTTGGAGAATCAGCATGGTTTGTACCTGACCAGACTCTTCCTACCCATTTATCAGTGGCTGGTTATGAGCAGGTTTCAGATGAACAGTTTGTCTGAACCGTGGTACCGTAGTCCTGTCTTTCCGGTCATGTAGGGTGCACATCTCAGTAAAGAAGTGTTGGGAGGGGGGCCCTGGCCAAGTCCCCAAAGCAAAGTCACAGTGCAGAACACGAGGTTTGTGCACCATGCTGAGGGAGAAAGAGAAAAATATGAATGTTCAGCAATGTTAAAGATAAAAGCAAGACCTGTCGTCACAGGGAAAATTGGCAAACTTGGCTAAATTGGCTTTTGTGCTAGTTTTCATTCGTTGTTTCTGTTCATTATACAAGACAAATTTTAGCACAGCTTAAATACTTAAAGGCTTTGAACAACATTAGAGACGTTGTGAAGCTGATTTGAGATTGTATGGGCCCCTAGACTCACAGAGAATTTGGGTGATTTAGTGCCAGTGAAGTTGTGCCTCCCAAACCTAGACAACCACTATTATTACAGTATAAATTCTGTGACAGAAGGTACTTGGTATGCCCTTCCTTCCCTTCACCTCTCTCTCTGCCTTGTTGAATAAACAAATAAAATCTATAAACATACGTGAATGGCCCCTGAGTTACTCTAAAGGTATGTTTATTATTTATCATATTTTTATCCAAGTTTTTTTTTCATATTTGGTGAAAGTTAACGGGAAGAAGGCACCATGTAGCAAAAATGCAAAGAGGTTTCCCACCATGCAGGAGCTTAGAGTCTAGTAGCAAAGCGACTCCCATCCCCATTGTCTTTTTGAGACAGTCTCATGCAGTTCATGCTGGCCTTGAGCTCACTTTGTAGCCTAGGGTGATTTTGAATTTGCAAGGATCTTCCTGCCTCAACAAAGTGCTGGGATTACAGGCGTGAGCTGTTACCCCCAGCTAGGAACCAAGCCCTTTTAAGAAGGGCGTGCTGCAAAAACAAGTGTGCTCCGAGGACCCAATGTTTAGCCACGGTTGGGCAAACACTGCGCAACAGTAAGAATTTTGCACCATCAGAAACCTTGGCACTCCACATAGTTTGACCACTGATTTGTCGTAGACGTTAGGCAAGAAATTTAGACTTGTAAATCCTCCCCCACCACCGCGTTTGTTTTTTATTCTGTAACTCCCATGGTATAGGAGAAGTCCTTAAGTTCCTCAGGACAAAGACCTCGGCCGTCGTTCTATTTTGCTTCCTCGTTCACACACCTCGGAGGCTGTTGGACCTCCCAGGTCAAAGAGAAAACGGCACGGCCCCTTTAAAGGAGCCCTAGAAGACCTGAGCCCGGGGTTCAACCAAGCGGCGGAGCAGGGGCGAAGCGCGGGGGACCCGGGCTTCCCACGCAGCCGGGGACGCCCTGCGTCACGGCGCCCGCAGCCAATCAGGATGGAGCTTGGCCGCACGCATTACTAGGGCGACGGGTCGGACGCTTCCTCGCTTAGGGATGAATTAGCGGCGGGTTCTGGCCTGAGGTTCGCCACCCCCCCATCCCGGGTCCCAGAGTCCCCAGCCCTGGCACGTGTCCCCCGCCTCCTCGCGAGGCGTCCCCTGCGCGTCACAGGTGAGAGCCCGGAACTGTCAGGTGGGGGTTGCGGCGGGGGAAAATGGCGGCGACGGCTGTGGAATCGCCAAGGTGGGCGAGTGGGCGCTGCAGCCCGTGCTCTGCTCCTGCCGCCCCGGTGACGGTCAGTGGCCGAGAATTGGGGTCTCGACGCGGGCGGTGGGGTTGCTGACACGGGTGACAGGAGGCGCGGGTGAGGGACTCAGAGACTGGCGGAGGCGTCGCAGCCCCTGTGGCTGCACTAATAGGCGCGCAGAGAGCGAGGTGGCCTGGGTCAGGAGGACGAGGTGCACTGTCAGGCTTCACGGAAAGAATGTTGGGACTTTGCTGCACAAACCTCGGCGGCTCTGGAAGCTGCGGGATCCTGGAACACCACCTCAGCCCTGCCCCAGTTCAATCCCATGTGCAAGAATGTCCCAAGTGGCTGCCACGTGCAAGGATTGGACGAGGGCCTTTGAGGGCAAGGGTTGTTGTTGCCTTATCTCTGTGTCTTGGGGTCAGAGGTGGGTTCAGGAAAAGAAAGATAAGCTGTCGCCGGGTCTGATGTCAGGTCTGATCTCAGAGGTGCATCTCAGCATCTAATTGTCCATTTTAAAACAAGCAATAAAAAAAGAAGGCACATAGTTATAGTTATGGAGCCATTTTGCTTTCTGGGTCTTGGCATGATTGAGGTTCTCCAGAATCATTGCCTCGGTCTTTGAAACTCATTAACTGTGTTCAGTGTGCACTGTTGACTCTACATAAGCCAAGGGGTTGAGATTCAGTTTAAGTGCAGGGGAAATATTGAAGATAAAAGTTGGTGAGGGAATTACTAAGATAAACTATTCACGTTCCTTACTTGAGCAGAGAAATGTCATGCCATGAACTAATTGGGTTAATTTTTTTTCATAAACTGTCTTGATTTGAAAGTCCTTTTTGCACAACTTGTATATTTTTGAGTTAATGAAAGGAGATTATTCGTTTTATTTTTCTTTAGTGTTGGTTGTTACATTGCACTGTGTGATGGATGAATGTAATGTTAAGTGACTCTTCTGTTAGGTACTCCATTAGGCATGACTTTGTAGAGTAACTTGTTCTGTTACTGAGCAAGCACAATGGCACTTTGTCTTTTGAGTTCGCAAGAGCTGCTGTCTGTCTCCACAGTGCCCATTGTGTGTTGGGCACTGTGAAAGAGAGGTGTCTTCTACCTTTTAATTTAAGCAAATGGTAGGATTGATCAGTTTCTACTAAGCCTGAGGCTTGCAGCTGCTGACAGCCCGAAGAGAATAGTGTTGGGGCAGAAACATCTCAAGTTAGAGACTAGCTTGGGCAAGCAACTTAGGGACTTAGTGAGACCCTGTCTCAGAATTAAAAAGAAAACGTTAAAGGATAGGAGGTGTAGCTCAGAGCAAAGGCCTTGGGTTCAGTTCTCCTTGTGGATTGGCCAGGATGCCTTCACACTGGATATATGGAGATTTGGTCAGTTTGATTTGGGGTTGATGTTATGTGTGGTTGTATTCAAGAATCCTTTAGAGATTTCAGTGGTAACAAACAGCCCTCTCTGACATGCATGCCTTAGATTTGCCACCACTAACTTAAGGTAATCATACAACTTTTTGGAAGGGGGTGGCCTTATCTCTGAAATGGGGATAAGTTTTCTTGTTCAGTCTCATGGCCCTGTTGTGTGGGTGGGGGAGTATATGTAAAAGGATTTTAAAAAACTAAAAACATAATGATAATAGTTGGCATTGATTACTATGTACTTACTCACCCAGGCACTGTCAGTGACCTTGTATGTGTATGCTAACTCAGATACTTATCAGCACTGTAAAGTGAGTACTTTTATCATTTATGTTTGACAACTGAGGAAACTGAGACAAACTAATATTTAATTTGTTCCAAATCACATAGTTAGTATTGTGATTCCAGTTTGCATTCTTAACCACTGTGTGTACTGTTTCTCTATACACATAGTGAATATGTGATGTGTTACGGGGAAATATGTGAACAAAAGTTTCAAGGGAGGGTTTTATGAACTTTTAGTCATATAAATCATAATTGTGATGCATTATATTGGCATCTGGTAGCAGTTGCTATAGTGATAACAATTCCTTTCCTTAAATGATATATTTGTCAAACATAGAAAAGTCTTTTAAAATCAAAGACTTGTGACTAATTTCTACCAGGAAGCACAAATCAATAAGTAAGATTTTAGTCTTGATTAAATTCTTTGGAAGAATAATTTGTAGGGTGACTTTTAAAAGAAAACTTGCTTTAGTCAGGTTCATTACTTTGACATACTATTTTTCCAGTGTTTATTTATAGAAGAAAGATGACATGAATAAAAGGGGCTGGGACCTTTGTATCTTTCATGGAACCTTGTAAGAATCATCTTGCCAAGTCTTTGGGATACAAATATTGATTGCTGATTAATTCATGGGAAGTTCAAGGAGACCAGAAGGTTTAAAGACCAGTGAGTGAGAGGAATAAATAAATGATTAACTAATTCAGCAGGCTAAGAACTCACATAGTTGTGGGCTGAGGGAGCACAAGAAGGGCACTGTTGCTTTGGCTGGGGTGGACCTGGCCAGGAGAGGAAGGGAGCTGACCAGAGGGTAAAGGAGAAAGGGCAGGAGTGGGAGGAAGCAGTGTGAAGCCAGGATGAATGAGAGTGCTTAAGTGTCCTGGGATCAGACCAGAGCTGGAGGCAGTGCTGGGAGAGAAGCCAGGACAGGTTGGGGCCGGCTTGTGACTTCTTAGCTGAGAGAGTGACTTTATCATGTGGCCAGTGGGGACTAAAGTGATTATTAATGTTAGTGAAATGAAATAGCGCAGTCAACTTTCTGTTCTTGATAGGTGACTTTGGAGAGAGGATGAAAACAGTGTCAAGACCAGTTAAGCAGAGTTTCCTCTGAGTTGGGGGAGAGAATGAGCCAGTGGGGGCAGAGCAGAGTTCAGATCGCATACGTTTTCAAAGACAGTGTCAGGTGTTAGAGGTTGACTTTTAGGGGGGAACCCAACACTTGCTGGTAGAAGAGAGAGGAGTAAAGTTTGTTTGGTAACTATATGGTTGTTCATTGGAGATTTTTAGGAAAAAGACAAGAATTAGGATTCTTTGAGGCTGGACTTAAAGGGAGTGGGAAGAATCTAAGGGAAGCTTGGAGGAACATGGTATAATGATGGGAATTAGAAAAAATTGCATTAGGTTCTTAGTGTATTTGTACAGAAGTGACTTTGTTTATTTTTTTGTTATTTAATTATGTTTGGTTTTTTTGAGATTTTTGTTTTTTTGAGTCAGGGTCTTGCTATGCATTTCAAGCTGGCTTTGAACTCACTATGTAGCTCAGGCCTGCCTCAAACTCATGGCAATCCTGCTGCCTCAGCCTCTTGAGTGCTAGGATTACAGGTGTGCGCCACCAGGCCCAGCCAAAAGTGATTTTAATAGGGGAGTAATAACTGATGAATTCTCTAGTTGTAAAACCAGTCAGCAAACATTTGTAACGTTAGAGTTACCCTGTAGTGTAAGTCAGGATGCAAGGTGAAAGTTCAAACATTGCCAAAGATGCAGGATTTCATGAATTCTGAGCATGATGGGAACCATACAAACCAGAAGCACAAATCAATTAACTAGTGATTAGAGATCAGAGGTACTTAAAACAAACTCAGAAAGCAATGACCTTAAAAGTGATCCATAAATTTGCTTTCAGTTTAACCAAAAGTAGGAACTGCCTTCATCCAGAGTTGCTACTAGGTGAATGAAGAGCAACATAGAGACTTGAAGAAGGAATTTGCAGTTTATTATTGACCACGAACTCACACCCAAGAATGTATGTAGGGTGAATGTAGAGAGTGTGTTTGTGTGTGTGTGTGTGTGTGTGTGTGTGTGTGTGTGTAAACTCACTAAACAAGTGAATTTCATTAAAAAATGCGTGGAAGTCCTGAAAAGTCACTTTGTAATAGTGGTTCTAGGGTGAGCCACTCACTCTCCTCCTTGTGGGGAGAAGATTTCTGACACTCACAACTTAAGGGAGGAGAGGTTTGTTTTGGCTCCACTTAGGAATTTCAGTTCTTGCACCATAAGGGATATAGTGAAAAGGTTTCCACTGAGGAGAAGCCGCTTGTGTCATGTCAGACAGGAGGCAGAAAGTGGAGAGAGGCACCTGGAAGAGAGAGGTACCTTTCTGGGTCACATGGCTCTTCTAACCAGACCCTAGCTAATAATAGCAAGCCAGCTATTACGCCCCTGTAATCTGATCCCCTTCTAAACACTTGGGGCTTTGGGGGCCATTTCAGGTCTAAACCACAGCTGCAGATATGCACATAAGGAGATACTTAACAGTATTTGTTGAGATAGTGTACTAGTGTACACCTTCCAGAATGGCTGTAATTAACGCACGGTCAGTGCCAGTGTTGACATGGCTATAGATAGGTAAACTGGGTCTCAAGTATTGTTGGAAGAGTATAAAATGATATGGTCACTCAGCAAACAGTGGCTGTGTCTACTTCTGTCTTTTCCATTCTTGGACATTTGTTGCTAAGAGAACGGAATGTTTCTAAGAGGAAAAGTACATATATCTACTAAAAAAGCGTGTAAAAGAACATTTATTCACCTTTATAATAACACCAAGTTGGATACAACTTGAACTTACATCAGCAGTAGAAAGACTTAGTAAATTATGTTTATAAACTGAAACACTACAAAAGCAATAAGAGAATGAGCTAAAGTATATACAGCAACGTGTATGATCACGCAGGTAGAATAAAGCAGACATGAGATTACATACTGCGGACTGCCATTTAAGTGAAGTTCAAAGACTTATAATTACTTCCTGATGATGGGATGCAGAATACTGATAGTAGGACTGTGTGTAATCTCAGCTACTCGGGAAGCTGGGGCAAGAGGATTGGTCGACTTGGTGAGACCTTCTTTGACAGTGTAAAAAAGAGGAGGATTGTCACTCAACGTGTAGAGTATTTCCCTCGTCTCAGAATGATACCCCCTTCCTAGTCATTACCACCAG